TACAGCAAAAGTATTAACTCTGAAAAACTTGCTCATCATTAGTGAAAATGATGAAGATGGTGGGCTCCTTATGACCTGCTGATCATGTCCCTTTGGCTGCAGCAAGTGCAGCTCTGTGATGAGTGGCAGTGGAACCTGTGCTTCCTCTGCCTGCCGCCCCACCCCCGCCTCCCCAGCTCCAAATCCCAGGTGTTGCTGGTTGATTATTACTTTTACCTCATTAAGGTGATGACGTTTCAGGCGAGGTGTGGTGAGTGAAGTGAAGGGAAAGCAAGGGGACCCAGGAGGCTGGAGGTTGGTGTGAGTGGAGTGACGTCATAGCACCGGGGCCACGTGCTTGGAGCCTCCATGATCAGAGCTGAGTAACGGTACTGATGAGGACAGACGACTTGTTTGAGATCTTACTATGGGCCAAGCATTACGCTAACCAAATACCTTCCATGTTTTAAGTTCCTCGATCCTAACATGCAACCTATGATCAATGCTGTTGGCTCGATATTTTATGATTAATTTTGTTGTACGGATAAGGAGCTGAGGTTCATGGGAGGAACTTTCCCAAGGTCACAATCTGTATTCTGTCCACTAAATCTGTAGGTGAAAAGCCATTGGATCTACACCTTCAGCAAGGGGGCTCTTTCTAACAGGGGCCCCCGAGGTGAGATAGATGGTAGAGGGAGCAGTTGACCCTTTATGTCAACACGGTGCATCCTCTTGATTTCTCTAGTTTGCTCTCCTCCATGATGTTTCCATTTGACAGACGAGGGAGAGAGGTGACTTGACTCCACCAGGAACACAGCCCAGGAGTCAGTTCTGGGTCTTGGACTCAGTGCCAGCCTTCTTCTGCTCTGCCCCCTTCCTCACCCAGTGCTTTCTGATCTGGACAACAGTACTTGCCAATTTTAAAGGGGATTGGGAGTAGGATTCCTTCAAAAACAAATGAACTTCTGAGTTAACATCTTCTGTTAGATGTCATAATAAAGAAAATTCAAGGTTTTTGCATTAGTTTCCTAAAGCTGCTGGTAACAAATTCCCACAAACTGAGTGGTTTAAAATAATAGAAATGTATTCTTTCTCAGTTCTGGAGAACTGGAGAAATCAAGGTATCAGCAGGCTGCACCCCATGAAGGCTACAGGCAAGAATGCTTGCTTGTTTGCAGCTTCTGAGGGCCACTCATGATCCTTGGTGCTCCTGGCTTATAGATGCGTCACTGCAGTCTCAATCATCATCTTCATGTGGCCTTCTCCCATCTTATAAAGACACTTGTCATTAGATTTAGGGCCCATCCTAATCCAGGATGATCTTTGGCAAAGACTCTTTTTCCAAATAAGGCTATGTTCCCAGGTTCCAGGCGGATGTATCCTTTGGGGATGGGGGGGGGGATGGCTATTCAACCTTCGATAGACACTTGGGTTACTTCCAAATAATGCTGCAATAAACATAGGAGTGTGTATGTCTTTTAGAATTAGTGTTTTTATATTCTTTGTATAAATTCCCAGCGGTGGGCTTACTGGATCATATGGTAATCCTACCTTTAATTTTTTGGGGAACCCACATACTGTTTTCCGCAATGGCTGCACCAGTTTGCATTCCCACTAACAGTGCACAAGGGTACCTTTTTTCCACATGCTCACCAACACTTGTTGTTTCTTGTATTTTTGCTTTTAACCATTCTGACAGGTGTGAGGTGATATCTCATTGTGGTCTTAATTTGTATTTCCCTGATGATGAGTCATGTTGAACTTCTTTTCATGTGTGTGTTGACCTTCAGTATGTATTCTTTGAAAAAATGCCTGTCCGTGTCTCCTGCCCATTTTTAATAGGATTATTTGTTTTTGGAGTGTTGAGTTGTATAAGTTCTTTATATGTTTTGGACACCTAACCCCTTATCAGATATATCATTTGCAAATATCTTTACCCATTCAGTAGGTTGTATTTTTGTTTCATTGACTGTTTCCTTAGCTGTACAGGGGTTTGGGGGGTTTTTTGTTTGTTTGTTTTTATTTTTATTTCTGAGAGAGAGAGAGAGACAGCGTGAGCAGGGGAAGGTCAGAGAGAGAGGCAGACACAGAATCCAAAACAGGCTCCAGGCTCTGAGCTGTCAGCACAGAGCCTGATGCAGAGCTTGAACCCACAAACTGTGAGATCATGGCCTGAGCCAAAGTCAGATGCTTAACTGACTGAGCCACCCAGGCGCCCCTATACAGGAGTTTTTTGTTTTAATGTGGTCCCAATAGTTCATTTTTGTTTCTATGACCAATGTCAAAGAAATTACTGCCTGTACTATCTTCTAGGATTTTTATGGTTTCAGATCTTACATTTAGATCTAAATTTAATTCATTTTATAATAATTGTCTTCCATTGATTTTTATTTATCCCCAAAACCAGTTGTAGAAATCCCTAGCTTTGCCTTCTTAAGTAGCCTACTGTTGGTTTTATTATTTAGACCTCGTTTTTGTTTCAAAAAAAAAAAAATGTAAAGCCTCACAGCCTGGGCTCTGACACGTTTTAATGTATGACTAATGCTATAGTCAGAGAATCAGTGTGATAGAGACTACCAATCACACATTGCTCGTACAAGGCTCCCTTCTGCTAGGAAATGAAGCAGAATTCTCTAACACCCAGGGTGCTCAGCATACTACCCATCCAGCCTTAGTCATCACTGAATGCATGACCCTTCTTCAGTGGTCCTTGCTAATAGCTCACACTGGATCAACCCAAGCCAGGCACTGTCTACTGGCTTTTACATAGATTTTTTAAATAATTGAGGTACAATTGACATGTAACATTATAGTAGTTTCAGGTGTACAATGTGATTATTCAATATATGTATATACAGCAAAATGACCACTACAAGTAAGTCCAGTTAACATCCATCAACACCCACAACTACAAAAATTTTTTTATGATGAAAACTTTTAAGATTTATTTTCTTAGCAACTTTCAACTATATAATACAGTATTATTAACTATAGTCACTATGCTGTATATTGTATCCCCAGGATTGATTTGTTTTATAACTTTGCCCATCTTTTACCTCTCACAGATGGGCCACCATCAATCTGTTCTCTGTAGCTATGAGTTCAAGGGTTTTGTTGGTTTGCTTTTAGATTCTACATGTTAGTGAAATCATATGTTGTTAGTCTTACACTTTCTGACTTATTTCACTTAGTATAATGTCCTCAAGGTCCATCCATGTTGTCAGACATGATAAGATTTCCTTCTTTTGGGGCACCTGGATGGCTCTGTCGGTTACGCGTCTGACTTTGGCTCAGGTCATGAACCACTCAGGTCATGGTTCACTCGTTCAAGCCCCACATCAGGCTCTGAGCTAGTAGCTCAGAGCCTGGAGCCTGCTTCAGATTCTGTGCCTCCCTCTTTCTCTCTACCCCTTACCTGCTCGCACTCGGTCTCTCTTCCTCTCACAAATGAATAAACATTAAAAAATAAATAAAAAAAAAAAGATTTCCTTCCTTTTATGGCTGAATAATATTCCATTAAATATATGTATAATATATCCCATTGTATATATATTTGATATATGTAGATATATATATGCATGTGTGTATGCATATATGTATGTGTGTGTGTGAGTGTGAATATGTACACACATACACACACATATAACATTTTCTTTATTCATTTATCCATCAGTGGATAGTTAGGTTTTTTCCACGTCTTGGGTGTTGTAAATAATGCTGCAATGAACATGGGGGTACAAGATATATTTTTGAGTTAGTGGTTTTATTTCCTTTAGATAAATACTCAGAAGTAGAATAGGAGGCTCCACACCATTTTCCACTGTAGCTGCACTAGTTTGCATTCATTCCCACCAACAGTGCACAAGGGTTCCTTTGTTTCCACATCCTTGCCCAACACTCCTAATTTCTTATCTTTCTGGTGATAGTCATTCTGACAGGTGTGAGGTGATATCTCATTGTGGTCATGATTAGTGATGCTGAACACTTTTCCATGCACCTGTTGGCCATCTATATTTCTGCTCTGGAAAAATGCCTTTTCAGATCCTCTGCCATTTTTAATTGGATTATTTATTTGCTGTGGAGTTGTATGAGTTTTTCATATATTTTATCACATATCTGATAACCCCTTCTCAGATATTTGATTTACTAATATTTTCTCTCTTTCAGCCAGCTGCCTTTTCATTTTGTTGATGATTTCCTTTGCTGTGCAGAAGCTTTTTATTTGATGTCATCTGACTTGTTTACTTTTGCTTTTTGTTTCAAATCAAAAAAAACCGTCACTAAGACTGATTGTCAAGGAGTTTATCATCTATGTTGCTTTTACATGGATTTGATCCTCTCAACAAACCTATATAATGAGTTCTATTATTGTCTCCATTTTAGAATGAGAAAACTGGGGTCTGGAGAGGCTAAGTCACCTGCCTAAGGTCACATAGTTGGATCTGGATGCCCGGCTTCAGAGCCTGCACACCTGACCACAACTGGCACTAGTTGTTGACATCAGACCACTGTGTCAACCTACTGTGTCACACGGCCAGCACCCTAAAGTAGTGAGGGCAACAGCCACAAGGTGATGACACTACCTTCTGGAAGAGCTAGGAGCCATCTTAATGACATTCATCCGGGACACTGTGATGTGGGGAGTAAATTACAACACGTCTCACTTAGTATGACTAGAGTCCCACGGGTTAGGTCCTACGCACTCTTTTTAATCCCTATTTTACTCATGAGGAAACTGCACGTTCAAGTGGCTGGATTTGCCCAAGGTCACCCAGTGGGTAGGTGGTGGAGTGAGATTTGAACCTAACTCTTCTTTCCCTAAGTTGATTGTTCCTCGGAACCTGCTTTTCCCACAGATGCTGGGACACTGCCTACTTGGTCTGCTTTGATCATACGGACAAAGCTCACGTGTCCCAAAGCATCTTTTGCACCACTGGCCCCTTGTTTGAAACCGCCCTCCCAGCCCTGCCTCCGCCAGGCTCTGACCCTGGAGCGCAGGGCTCACTGTTGATTTCTAGCACCTGGCCTGGAGTAGGTGCTCACACGCTGCCTGTTGAAAGAAGGGATGGATTTGTTCCGGGTAAGGAGTTTTTCCCAGAAAATCCCAGTTAAAATGCAAATGTGCTGCCTGGCAGAGATGTCTGGAATTTGTTTATTGCTTCCCTCCCAGAGAGGAGGATTTTGAGGAATGACTCCATAGGACTAAAGAATAAAGGGAGGGGGATTTCTTGAGTGTAGGGAAATGCCCCGGGAAGAGGGGTGGGCCTGAGGGAACTGGGTGCTTGCCGGTGGACCTTGAACACTGCAGAAGAAAGAAGAGGGTGGACTAGGCCCCGCCTTCTTCAGTTTTGCCCCAGGCGGGCTGACCCTCTGGGCACAGCGGGTCTGCCCCGCCCCCCACAGACAATGGGCGGGGCCCACTGGCAGTGTCCAAGGACCCATTCTTCCCAGTCCTGGAAAAGGGCCCCAAGTTCAAGTTTCCCCAAGGGAGCACTGGAAACAATCCACTCAGGGGTAGAGGAGCTGGGTTCAAATCTTGTCTCTACAACCTATCCATTGGACGACCTTGGGCAAATTCAATCACTGGAATGGCCTGCCCACTGGGATGGCCTTATTAAGTCAAATGTCTCTTTTCGTCCCACAAAAGAGCAAATCCTGAAAGGAAAAGCGGCATCCTCGGACCCATCTCTCGCTTCCCACCCCAAGTTCATCAAGCAGCCCTGCCCCACCCCCTCAAGCAGGCAAATCTTCTCCCAGACCTTTCTCTGTGCCCAGGTATGTATAACACATGAAAACTGGATCGCCCTCTACATAGAGTCCTGTGGCTTATCTTCTCCATTTAAACGTATGGGGCGTCTTTCACTGACAATCCACATAGATCTGCTGGAATCTGTTGAAAATAGTTTCACTGTATTTCGTCATGGGACATACCAGACATACCACAGTGCACTGAGCCCGTCTCCCGCTCAGGAGCAGTATAGCCGTCTCCAGCTTTCGGCCGTTGCCTGTGCTACGGTGAACATGTCTGCACGCCCCAGAGGCCTTGCTTCTAATCCGCCAACCGCCGGGCTTTCTTACCAGGCTTTTACTCAGGAAGGCGCTAACCAGGGGCGCGGCCCTCCTGGGCCGGGGACTCGGCTCTCCACGGCCGGTTTCAAGCTGCCCTGCAAGCCGGTCCCCCAGGGGTTCTGAGCCAATGTCAGAGAGAAGGCCCGTGCGTGAGAATCCGGACCCCGCAGTCACCACCCCGGCCGGCCTCTCACCTCTGCTTCCGGGGAATGGAGGCACCTCGGCATCATTTTCTGTAATGCCCAAGGAAATCCCCGGATAAGACGGACACCCTCATGCTTCACAGGAGGCGCTCCCCCACTCCCACGGAGATAAGCTCATGAATGCTTTCTTAATCACAGCTCATGATTCTCTGGGGCCCTGCGGGGCTGCCAAAACCTCTCTCAGCTCGCTGCCGCTGCCACCGCAGCCAGACACAGCACTTCCTAGAAAATCATCATCCCATTTACTGTTTATTCTGGGGGCGGATTATTGCTTCCCATAAACTCTCCGAGCACTAAAGGTGGTTGTTCAGTAAATCTCATGAAATGTCCACGTGAAGGGGGAAAGATGCTCTTTATTTTATGTTTTCTATTTTATTGTTAACGTGTCAGAGAAAAAGGAAACGATAGTCCCATTTTTAGATACTGATAAAAGCAAGCAAGACTCCATTCTGGCCGTGGGAGCTCAGTATGGTTTCGTAATCATTATCTTTAACTCACGAAACAGTCAGAGCCCTGGCTAGGATATGAAGATGGTAGAACTGTGTGATCGTTCCGCGTTGGAGTACACAAGTTTGTCATACTTGTCATTTGCAGTCTTGACTTTTGCCACCTCTGTGAACCAGCACCATTAGTTCCTTAGTCTTTCCAATGACTTTTTAAAACATAGCCTCATCCTAATTAATATCTTAAATAACAGAGTTGGTTGTATTTTTTTCTTTTTTCTTTTCTTCCTTCCTTCCTTCCTTCCTTCCTTCCTTCCTTCCTTCCTTCCTTCCTTCCTTCCTTCCTTCCTTTTTTTTTCCTCAAAGACTTCTGTTTTATTATAGTACATGAGCTGGAACTGATGGAAAGGGTAGCTGTGGTGGGCGCCACAGCCCCAATTAGCATTGGATGCCCATCCCAAAGGCCATGCCTGTGCCCACGGTGTGCCTCTCTGCATCATGGCTTTCCAGGTCTGCCCATCACCTCCCAAACCCACATTCTGATCCTGAGACAGGAAAAGGTGCTGAAGAGTGCCCCGGCTGCCATGCCCGCTGCACAGCCCATCACAGAGCCTGTCTTCACGTGGCAGAAGCACTTCAGCCGGGACTGTCCATAAGGCCTACAGCCACCAGCGTCTCCTTCACAGCTTGGGTCACTCAGTTCTACGTTGCACACGGAACACTGGTTGTGTTTTTTTTTTAAAGCATGTTAAAATTCAAAAAATATTGAATATCACCTGCAACGTTCTAGAGTCCGGAACAGCAGCACTTTTTAATAAACGTTGGACTTGACTGGATCCCAGATTTTAGCCTCCTGCTGGGGTGTCTTCTAAGGCTAACAGAATACTGTTGAGACGCGGAAGCGCTACCCTATGCCTTTGCATTTTTGTGTATTTAGTGGGCCATAGATTCAGAAATTGGAGGTTGGGAAGGATGGAGAAATTACCTGCTTTTGAAAGGTAGGGCAGCTGATTGGAAAACTCGTGAGTTTTGGAATCAGGCCTAGGTACAAAAAAAAGTATCTGTTAGTAACACAAACAAACAAACAAAAAAAACAACACCTCTGTTTGGTAGTGCCAGGAAATGATGGAAATGATATGGACTGGCCATTCCAGATTCGTGAACATACTGGTGAAGTGTGGCAGGCATTGAGGGGCTCTCTTAAGCTGATATAAGTTTAAGTGTGGTGGTATTTACTGCCTTTTTGGGCAAGGGATGGGAGAAGCAAAGAGCACTTGGGAAATCCAGGAGAGATATCAGGCACCCCCCTCACCGGCCTTTAGGGTCTTGTGCTGCTGCATGTGGGTCCTCTGTCTTCCTGAACCCCCAGCACGTGGTGTGGGGTCTGTTCTGCCACGCCCGGCAGTGGACAGGGTGAGGGGACGGGAGGGCTGCACGCCAGCTGAGCAAGAACAGTTCTCACAGAAGATGCACTCAGATGTGGTGCTGACAAAACAGCGCTGCTTCCTGCAGAGACTTCAAAAGCCCCACACCCTGTCTACCGCGGCACATTTGTGCAGCTGAAGGAGAAACTGCTGGAAATAGGAGTTTCCCTGATGTCATTGGGATGATGCCGACTGTGTTCTCCGGGAGACATCAGGGAGTTGGCTCAGGAAGGGCTGGGTGGGAAGTGATGCAACTTTGGACAAAAGCTCTGGGCTCTTCACAAAGGGAGGTCAGAGTTGGCTGAGCGTTCACCTGCTCGGAGCAGCCATAGAAAGTTCTAGTCCTAAGAGTAGAGAGTATGGAGAGTAGAGATTCAGAGAAAGAGATGAACAGGGCAGGTAGAGCTGTGTCAGCATCTCTGACATCTTTCTCCTCTCATCCTTCCCTTCTTCATCCGAAGAGAAGAAAACCTTTGTTCTATTTCTCATCTCGGTGCTTCCAATTGAGAGTGTATTCAATTCTTCCAGGTTATGTTATCATCCCGAGGGGAATCCTTTAAAGATGCCTGGAACACCGGAAGGAACCAGGGCTCCTTGGAGAAATAGCTGATTACTAACGAGGGCGGAAATGTCCAAGATGAGCCTACATGACTGTGCCAGAAAACACAATCAAAAAGTGGCCCAGGAGTCAGCTGGAGAGTCTTACTGGCTAAAGGTGGGAAACTTTTAGCATCAAAAAGAATAATGATTCTTCCAATGCAATAGATTGGAAGGTAGGAATGCAGAAAATTATGAGTTCATAATGATAAAAAGAGAACCCTTACTGGTCTCCATTTCAAGGCTGTTTGGGTAGCAATTCATTTCTCTGAAAACTGATAAAAAGAAGAATAAGCACACAACCCACCTTTTCTGTGTGAACTGCATTTCCAAGTGACCAAAAAGCTGACAAGGGAAAGTTCATTTTAGGTAAGAATTCTTCCCAGTAAATGCAGAAGAAATAACAGAATTAGAAAATCATGACTTTTGGAGCACCTGGGGGCTCAGTTGGTTGAGCGTCCGACTTGATTTTGACCCAGGTCATAATCCCAGGGTTGTGGGATCAAGTCCCGTGTCAGGCTCTGAGCTGAGTGTGGAGCCTGCTTGGGATTCTGTCTCTCTCCCTCTGCCCCTCTCCCTGCTCTCTCTCTCTCTCTCTCTTAAAAAAAAAAAAAAAATCTTGGCTTTTGAAACCTCTGGGGAAATAATGGATTTAGAAGTGACCAATCAGTGGATACTAACCTATCTGGTTAAAGGTTGGTGGGGAATTTCAAAATGGGAAATCTACAGCAACACCTACATAGTATTCTTCTCACATAAAAAATCTAAGACTGAATCTAAACAAGCATCTACCTCTGCCTCTTCCAATATAGTAGCCACACAAACCCTTCAACACTTGAATTGTAGCTATTTTGAGTTGAGATGTGCTTTAAGTGTACACTCCACATTCGATTTTGAAAATGCAGTATAAAAAAAGAATAAAATATTGCATTTATAGCTTTGTTGCATTAACCACATTTTGAAATGACAATATCTTGGATATTTCACATTAAATTCAAGAAATTATTTTTTAAAATTTCACCTTTATCTTTTAACTTTTTTTATTCCAGTGTAGTCAATGTACAGTGTTATGTTAGTTACGGGTGTACAAAATAGTGACTCAACACTTCCATATATTACTCAGTGCTCATCAAGATAAGTGTACTCAATCTCCGTCACCTATGTTTTTTCTTCTTTTTTTCTTTTTAAGAGAGAGAGAGCATGAGTTGGAGAGAGGAGCAGAGGGAGAGAGAAAGAGAATCCCAAGCAGCTCCATGCTCAGCACAGAACCTGAAGTGGGGCTTCATCCCACAACCCTGGAATCATGACCTGAGCTGAAATCAAGATTCAGATGCTTGACTGACTGAGCCACCCAGGTGCCCCTTTTTAAAAAATGTTTTAAATGTGTCTGCTAGAACATATGAAATTACATGTGTGGGTGGCATCTTATTTCCAATGGCCATCACATTGCTCTAAGTCTTACTTAGCAGTTCACAGAGAACACTGGCAGGAATGGAACTACCTAATAACACCAAGAGAAACCAGCCAAATGCAGAATGTGGGAACATTCTACCAGGTTATCTGGTACCTCTGTTAATAATGACACTGTTGTTGTGGTTTTTATAATGTGCTTATCTGTAAGCGACGCATACCCAAGTTTGTGTGGGTGAAATCATATGTCTTGTGGTATTTGCTCTAAAAATGCTGAGTGAAAAAGCATGAGTGATAGATGGAACCAGATGACAAAATGTTGATTATTGTTGAAACTAGGCAATGAGCATTTGGGGGTTCATTATATTCCTCTCTCTCTTTTTGATATGTTGAAAAGTTCTAGAATTTAATTATATTTCTATATTTATTTATAACATGTATGAATAATATACAATGTTGTATTTAATAATATAATTATAAGTGTATGATATGTAAAGATTATAATGAATTATTTTTTAACATTTATTCAGTTTTTGAGTGACAGAGCACGAGTGGGGGAGGGGCAGAGAGAGAGAGGGAGACACAGGATCCGAAGCAGGCTCTAGGCTCTGAGCTGTCAGCACAGAGTCCGGTGCGGGGCTCGAACTCATAAACTGTGAGATCATAACCTGAGCTGAAGTCGGACACTCAGTTGACTGGGCCACCCAGGCACCCTTTAATGTTTAATTTTGAGAAAGAGAGAGAGAGAGAGAGAGAGAGAGAGAGGCAGAGAGAGAGGGAGACACAGAATTGGAAGCAGGCTCCAGGCTCTGAGCTGTCAGCACAGAGCCCAATGCGGGACTCAAACTCACAAAAAACCCTGAGATCATGACCTGAGCCAAATTCGGCCGCTTGACCGAATTAGCCACCCAGGTGCCCCCAAAATTATAATGACTTTTAATGCCTCAGAAGCTGTCTTTAATTTTAATGCCCAGGGAAGGTAACACACGGTTGGTTTATCAGGTGAAGGGGCACAAAACCTTCTAAGGCAGAGTCCAAAGGGAATGGAAAGAAGCTTGACAAGATGCACACCCACCCCGGTGGGTAACAGGTCGTCCTGGGTTTCCTGTGAGAAGCGCAGGCAAGCCAGGGCCAGCTCAGAGGCGCTGGATTCCTGAGGTGGGGGCGGGGGGGGGGGTTGGCAAGGCCTATGACCATCTGAAGAAGGCCTGGGGGGAGCGCCTGGGTGGCTTAGTCGGTTAAGCGTCCGACTTTCGTTTAGGTCATGATCTCGCGGTTCGTGGGTTCAAGCCCCGCGTCGGGCTCTGTGCTGACTGCCAGCTCAGAGCCTGGAGACTGTTTCAGTCTGTGATTCCCTCTCTCTCTGACCCTCCCCTGCTCACTCTGTCTCTCTCTCTCTCTCCTAGAAATAAATAAAAATATTAAAAAATAAAAAATAAAGAAAAAAAAAAAAGAAGGCCTGGGGACCAGCAGCAGTTCTCCAGCAGCTTGCGTCCTTGTCTGTCCTAAAACCCCACCCACGTAGCTGTCCCCTGCCTCAGCGGTCTCCTTGGAAGAATGGTATTAATGACTGATAATGCGTGGTGGATCACCCTCGAAGGGACATTGACTTTGGAGCTCAGCATAAAGCCTGACTTAGCTCAAAATAACAAACCTGCAATGACTTGAGTCAGAACCTCCCGCTGGTCTGCCCGGGGCTGGCCGGCTCCGCGTCCAGCTGGACCTCACAGGTGGGCCCCACAGTCCAGGCTCTGACCCATTGTTGGTAAATCTGCAGGGGGCGGCCCCCAAGTTCATGAGAGGGATGAATAATCACAGTGAAAGTTTGTCTACTTACCATGAGCTGTAACCATCCAGGACCAGATATCTGTGGCCACTGAGCAGCTCGTCATGGGGGACCCACACCCAGCGGGAGGAAAAGGGTTTGGAAGGTGGTGGTGGCTATTTTCGTCAGGGGTGGTGCTTCCTGATATACTTGTCTCTGTCAGAAGGAAAACCATCCCATCCCTGCACAGGACCTTGCTTTTCGTGTTAGCAGGATGGGGTCCAAAGTGCAGACAAGCGTGCCCTGATTTCACCTGTTGTGGGCATCCTCAACTGCGCATTTAACCTTCTGCCTTTCTCCATTCCCTTACTCAGGTAGGGTTGAACCTTTCCATCCCTTTAGAGTAATGGTTCATTGCTATTCTATTTTAGAAATCAGTTTCAGAGGGCAATCCAATTTCCCCTCCCAGGATCTGATGGGATCATTCGTGTTGCGCCTTCAGGGTCTACCCGGGGATGGTCCTAAAAATTCACTTTACTGAATCTGTGATCATGCAGCCTGGTACTAATGGATATGGGCTGTGCAGTTGTACGGGGACCGCGTTGCAACCCTATCTCAGCTCCGGAACCATTGGGTAACCTTGAGCAAATAGCTTCTCCAAGCCTCAGTTTCTTAGAAATGCATTGGGGCGCCTGGGTGGCTCAGTCGGTTGAGCGTCCGACTTCGGCTCAGGTCATGATCTCGCAGTTCGTGGGTTCAAGCCCCGCATCTGGGCCCTGTGCTGACAGCTAGCTCAGAGCCTGGAGCCTGCTTCAGATTCTGTGTCTCCCTCTCTTTCTGACCCTCCCCTGCTCACGCTGTCTCTCTCTCTCTCTCTCTCTCTCTTTCTCTCTCTCTCAGAAATAAATAAAACATTAAAAAACTTTTCTTAAATGCACGCTCTTGACATGACTGTGAAAAACTGATTCTACATAACATGCAGCACAGAGCCTGCCAGCCGGTAGCACCCGATAAATGAAGGCTGTGACTGTCCCACCGTTACTATCGTGGCGGCAGTTTGCGGCTGGCCCTACCTATACATGAGTTTTGCTTCCACGGGTTAAACTGAATGCCCAAACCAGGAAGCTTAGATCTGCTTCCACATTCCCAGGGCAAACCCAGGACATCTCCAGGTAAAATTAAAAGGCGGACAAGGCCGCGGAACACAGGCGAATCCCATCAACAAGGTATGTTTGACACGCCTACTGTGCTTCTGTCTCCGATCTAGCAACTCTGTAGGGCTGCAGGGCGACGGGGTGGAAATGGTCCCCTGACCTGAGGCGGCTGCTCACTCACAGTTAGCCTATCTTCCACAGGCTTCTTCTCCAGCAGCTTGCATCCTGTCGGTCCGAAAACCCCACCCACGTAGCTGTCCCCGGCCTCAGCCGTCTCCTGGACGAAGGTATTAATGACTGATAATGCGTGGGGGGTTACCCTCAAAGGGACATTTGCTTTTGAGCCCAGCTTAACGCCTAACTTTGCTCAAAAATAACAAACCGGCCATGATTCGGGTCAGAATCTCCAAATGCCTGGCACCAGTAGGTGCTCAATAAAATATTGCAGTGATTAATGGAGGGAATTTCAGGCATTGTAGCGAATTGCTGAGGAGCAGCCGTTGGGCCTGGGGACTTTCCTAGGACCATTCCAATCACCCCCAGAGAGGGTGGTTTCCTGTTCCAGTTACTCAGAAGGTCAGCCCTTAGGAAGGGCACCAAACTCTGATTTCTTTCAGGGCTGAGGCTGATTACAGTCTGAGCTTTAAGAGCTTTCCCCCTTCACAGCTTTAGATGTATTCAAGCTTTGCTTTGGTGGAGGACTTCCCCGTGGGAGTGATAGAAAGCTCACCACTTAAGTCATTTAAACTTTGGCTGCCCAGGCCTGAAAAAAATGCCCTTGGGACGGAT